GTGTGTGTGTGTGTGTGTGTGTGTGTGTGTGTGTGTGTGTGTGTCTTTACAATAAGGTAATGGGTAATATGTTGTTAAAAGCATCACTTTAAGCTCAGCATGATGAGTGCAGTCCTGTTAAGGATCCATTAGCATTAAATGATTTTATGCCAATTACCTCTTTGGTGATGCAGCCATCTTTGTTTAGGTCATAGAGGTTAAATGCCCAGTTTAGCCGGTCATTAACTGTCCCTCTCAAGATGATGGACAAACCAAAAACAAAATCCTGAAATAATGAAAAAAAAAAACATTATTTTGGCAACACTTGTGTTTATCACGGCCTTTGTTCTGTGAACAGATATTTCGGTGGATTATAAATCTCTGTGTGGATACAGATGGAAATTTCAAAGAAGGAATTAGCTTTTATCTAAAAAAGAAGTTGATGTAAAATCAGAGCTCACCTCGAAACTAACCGAGCCGTTCTTGTTTGTGTCGAAGGCTTCAAACAGGAAGTGTGCGTACATACTCGAATCTGCAACGGTAGAGAATCTCAGTAACCCACCAATTCCTGRCACAGGAAGTCTTCGAACCACTAGGATTAGCAGTGATCTAAATATAGACTAGATTTAAAAATAATTTCAAATACTGGAGGCAAAGTGGTTAACATTTTATCAACCTAAAAATCAAAATGAAAAATAGCTTTTTTGTTCTTCGCTGAGAACATTCTAAGATTTATCAAGGCAGATTATAATGAGTTAATTACAGTGTGTTCTTTTTATTGTGATGATAAAACACCACACTACCAGTGTCAGTGGTATTCGCCCCTTTGTGCACATTTATTTAMTAAATAAAGGCAGAGAATTGGGCAAATTCAATTATTATAACAGATTTGAAAAAGCATACCTCCCTGAGGGAAGAACTGGGAGTAGATAGTCTTAAAGTTCTCCTCGTTCACCACTCCACTCGGACACTCCTGAGACAAAAACAGAGAGTTGAGAAACCTGCCTGATTCCCAATTCAGCAGAGAAGCAGAGGAAGGACCATGCAGGCCTACATTTTTGAAGCCCCTGTAGAGGACTTGCAGCTCCTTCTTGGTGAATTTTGTCTGCTCCTGCAGCTTGTCCATGCTTTCAGGGCGATGGCACACCGTGGATAGCTCAAAGTCATCTTCCACGCTGTCTGTGACGGACAGGAAAGGGTTAGTAGCTGCTGCATCATCACTCCTGATTGAATTTACTAACTTATTTTACCAAAGATTTAAGATGCTAAAATCCAGCTTGGCTAGAGCAGGGATTTCCAAACCTTTTTATGTCATTTCCCCCCAAACAGCATTGGCTTCTGGCCGAGGACCCCCCATGCAAAACCACAAAAAATGCTACTAAATATAAGAATCATCAAATTTTAGAAAGTATTTTTCCCTCAGTTTTAGTCACTTTTCTAAAATAAATACATTTGTTTAGCATAAGAATTGTATATTTTAAACACTGTATCATATTCCCACTAAAAATATATATTTTTAAATAATGATTGAAAAACATTGGATTTTATGATATGACTTCATACATAAACTAGATCATTTCAATTTTTTTCTCATCTTGCCTGCAGATTTCATCGACAGGTTGTGAAAATTAGATTTTTCAGTGGCAATATAAAAGTGTCTAAAACATGTTATAAAATTTTTATGCTAAACAATAGTAATTATTATTGAACAGAGAATAAAAGTGAAAAAAGCAGCATTCTTTGTGGGTTTGCAAGGGGGGTCCCTGGCCAGAAGCTAATAACGTTTTGGGGGGCCATGGCATGGGAAAGTTTGGGAAACCCTCTAAAACACATCAGTATGAAGTTCATAAACTTTTCAGAGCTTTTTAAATTTCTGTATGAATATGACACAAAGTCTAGACTTTAACTCTATAGAAATATCTTAGGAAGATAAAGTGAGAAGTTTATCTGAGGAAATCCAACAAATGTGCATCTATATATTCACAAGTGACCTTCTTGTTCATTTGCTTTTGCACAATTGGTCACCACAAACATTAAAACTATTTAGCTGCTTACATATATGAACAATGAGGTAACGGTTTTCTACAAAAATAAGGAATGATTTGCAACATTTGTGACCCTGTTCAAACCGAGGATTAAGTCATATTTGGTCAAAATGACTGAAGCATATTTTCAGATTACATCATCCTGACATCGTGAATGGTTCCAGAAGTGTGGCTTGAGTTGTCTTCCTAATCAGGATAACCCATTATCATTACCATTACCCATTTTTTGTTTTTTTTCTAATGAGAAATTATTGATGTAATTTCACACAGGAAATCTAAAAACACTATTTGGAAATTACGGTTTACCAGCCGCTCACAGGACAAATATCAAACAAATATTTTTTCTGCTCAAAATCATGTATTTTGCACAAAAAAGTGATTCAAAAAAATCTTTAAGATTATATTTTAAATTAAATAAATTAAATGACTGACGTATTTATTCATTAAATTTTGACAAAATGCAATTGTTGCAAAAGTTTTAATTATTGCACTATAGCTGCCTATTTCTCCACAAACCACTTGGTGATTTAATCCTTATGTTGATGTCATGGGTCACTTTTTGTCATAGTTTCATTCTCTTTAGGACTTGTCTTAATGTGATGGGCTCAAATTTCTGCAGAAATGCTGAAATTGTTTGCAAAGTTGAGCCATTTTCAAGAAATTTACAAAGAATAAAACAGTAGGCTTTACTTTTAAGAAAGCTGACCATTTCAAGTATTTGCTGAAAATAACAAATAATACTTAAAGTCATGAAATCAAGCAGTCATGAATGTGTGTAAACGTCAACCCAAGCGCACATAAGAAACTGCAGGAAGTGAGATTTTAGATTTATCTCAAAGACATTTTGAAAGTTGAAACAACTGTCTGCTCTTGTACCATTTTGTACAGCTCCTATCATGACTAATCTTTAGCTGGGCTCAGTGACACACACTCACAATCCACTGTCCTGCACCGCTCTACAAATTACTAAAGGAAAAGATGTCCAGTCCATGTTTACAGATTTTTATTTTCCCCAAGTGAGCACTGACTGTTTTTCTGAAAGGATCTGCACAAATGTCAATGAATCTTCTCAACCCACTGGGAAAAAAAAAAAAGAAAAAAAGAAAAAACGCCAGGTGGAAGTCAGCAGAGGTGTGTGAAGTGTGAATGAGAAACTTGCTTTGACTGATTGAGGGGGCAACCGTGGGCTTGCAGCACAGCAGCAGTTTGAGGAATCGCTGCTTTATGGTTTTTTTGCTTTGGCTGGTGGTGGAGGGATTACCTGCAATCACCAACCACAGCACAAGAGTTAGAGATACACACGCAGGCAAGCGGATTGGCTTCACATGCCTGTAAAACTTAGAAGCAAAAAATGAAAACGACATGCAACAAAAATATATGACAGAAAAGTTCATGCTCTGTCGGCTGTTTGCCTCTTGGCTTGGCTCAGCAAAAGGAAACCGTGAAGTTTTAAACTGCAGATATTTACCAAAATTTTGATTTGGAATTTATCTCATATCTGCCCGTTTGTCAGGTTTTATAAACTGACTGTTGTCGCCTCCATAAGGAACATTTGTCATTGAAGTTTTGAAATTTGTAGTATGTATAGCACTTTGAAAAATGTATTAATTTCCTTGGACTTTTCCATATTTTATCACAACTACAAACTTCATAGACCAACATAAAAATCAATTGTGGAGTAGATGAAAAATTATGCTTGATTCTCTGATGCTTTTGCAAATAAAAACCTGCTAGGTACTGTGATATTTGTTTTCAGCCATGCACTTTCACCCTGATACCCCCTAAATAAAAACCAGAGCAACCAAATTAACTTCAGAATTTCCCTTTTTAGCAAATAGAGTCCCCCTGTGTGAAATTTATCCTCAGCATAAATCTATTATAGCTGTTTCATGAAGACCTCAGCCTAAGCTTAGACCATCCCATGGAGCACTGTTCAACTTGAAGATGGAAAGTCTTTGGCTCAACTGCAAACCATGCATGTGAACTGAGAAGTAAAGAAAGCATTAATCCAAGAAGCAGCAAAAATCCACAGCTCAGGTGTGAGAATGAGTTTACACAACAACTAATGTTAATGCAATTCACAAATCTTGACAGAAAGTCACAAAATGTCCTGTTTTTGGTTTATCACAAGCCATGGATCATAGCAAACACATCCTCATGAATGCAAAAATCATTTCTAAGAAGTATGGTGGTGGCAGCATCATGCTGTGGGTTTTCCTCAGCAGGAACATGGAAACTGGTCAGACTTGGCTGAATGCACAGAAATCCTGGAGGAAAACCCATCAGAGCAAAGGTGTTAAATAAGGCCGCACGATATTAGAAAATCTTGCGATGGTAATATTTGTAAATATTGTAATGACAACATCAGGTGCAATATGTCTTTTTTCTTTTCTTTCCTCACTTTCTAATCTGTACTTCCTTTCTGTGAGACCCTTAGAACTTTTGTCAATGTCATTTGTGTCTGTTGTGAGCTTTTGCTGCTGTGAGACTCTGTCCTACTGGCTAAATATTGCATTAGCATGAAAAAATACAACTTCAAAGAATCAAGAATCGTTTATTGTTGTTCACACACAACATCAAGATGCAGTGCAGAACAATATGTGCAGTTTAGAACATCCATCTGGAGAAAGACACACACACACACACACACACACACACACACACACACACACAC